TTAAAAATGAGCAAAGCAACAAAACAAAGAAGAGGCACAAAAGAACAAAAGCAATAGCACTTCTGGTTCCGTGGTCGGCAAGCAGAGGTTTGTGCAGGAAAGTGTTGCAAACAGCATTTAAGGAAAGGGCAAATGCTTTTTCAAGGAACGAGGATTTGTGAGGCGTAAAAGGCGAAAATGAAACATACACTCCCCTTCCGCTAAAAAAAACACCCCAAAAAATCCGGAATTAGCCGCCCGATGGCATAACTCCACCCCCCCCCTCCCATAAATGAGGCTCTGTAAGCGGGCTCGTTTAAAGAAAATTACCCGTTGATATCCGCAAAAATCAGCCCAGTAGAACGCTAGAGCTAAGCGTTACCAAAACAAAACATTTCGGAGACTTGAGTGCTTTTTAAAATAAATAAGGCATTATAAAAAAATATGCATGTACATTGTGTGGGCACTTTATTTAAAACCAAAAATCGGCATGCACCTACAGAAAAATGGTGGAAAAACTGAATTTTGTTATTAAAAATTGGAAAAGAGCACAGGGCGAATTCCAGTGAATTAATGGAAACTAGATTTCGGAGGTCTTGAAATCAACGATAACACATTTTCTGAGACATTTCTTAAAAATAGTCCTTTTATGATATGTTTCGCTGGATACGGGTCAAAATTGTTGTTGCTTTGAAATGAAAGCCAATCATTTATTTCTTAAAACTGTTCGATTCAGTAAATAATAATCGGTAGCGTGCAAAATAAAAACAGTAGAACAACATTCGATTTGGAACTCGCTGACACCCAACGGTATATAACCCCCGAAAAGGCTCCTTAATGATTAGGATAAATTTCTCTGTTTAAATATCCCGTGCATAGAGCGCCGGATCTCCCGCCCGGATCTTTCTTCAGTTGCCACGGTACTTGGCCCTTTCCGTCCGTTTCCATGGGCAGAAGTCAAAGCGGAGAGAGATGTGACCACGCTGCGCTATTAAAGGTTTCGGCTACCTGCGAGCCTGCGACTCCGGAGCGGAAGATTCGGGTTCCGACGGAGCGCTAACTTGTTTTACAGTCCCCGTCTCCCATTTCAAGTAGTATTTAAACCCCCTAATTTTGGAGCACAAAATTGCACAAAATTATGACGTGCTTTTTTCCTCGAAATTCGAGAGTGGGGGGCTATCGTTTCTACAGCCCCCCAATTTGAAATGGTATTTAACCCCCCTAATTTTGGAGCACAAAATTTTCTTTTTGCGGCACAAAATAGCACAAAATTATGACGTGCTTTTTTTCTCGAAATTCAAAGGTGGGGGGCTGCCGCACCTGCGACCCTCCCCCTCAATTTGGGGTGGTATTTAGGCCCCCTAATTTTGGAGCACAAAATTTTCTTTACTACGGCGGAGAGTATTACGGCATACTTTTTTTTCAAGAAGTTAGTAAAGGGGGGCAAACATTTCCACAGCCCCCCAAAATTTGATGTGCCCGTTTACCCCCTAAATTTACAAAAATGAAGCGTTTTTCTGCGGCACAAATTAGCACAAAATTCGCAAACACTGACGGCATACTTCATTTCAAAGAAATCAAAAAGGGGGGCTAACATTACTACAGCCCCCCCCCAAATTTGATGTGCCCATTACCTCCCTTAAATTTGAAAAAATTGAATGTTTAACTGCGGCAAAAAATAGCACAAAATTATGGCATACTCTGGCAAAATTTTTTCTTACGGTACAAAATAGCACAAAATTATGGCATTCCTTTTTTCCGAAAATTCGAAAGGGGGGGGGGGGCTACCGTCTCTACAGCCCCCCCCCCATTTTGAGGAGCGTCCCCCCCTCAATTTTGCAGCACAAAATTTTTAATTTGCGGCACAAGATAGCACAATATAGCACAAAATTAGCACAATATTATGATATAATCTTTAATTTCAGATTCGAATGTGGGGGGAGGGGCTGTGGAAATGGACCCCGTATGTTCAAGTACCTAATTTTGTTTGAACAACTCCATTGGATATCTTATGATATTTTGTGACATTTTATGAATAGTTAGTGTTATTATTAAATGCATATTTCTATTGATACGATAATACTGCGAATTCTGTTGATAGGTACAACGTTGCAAAGCTTCCATCACAGACCTATGAAAATTGCCCATTTTGTTAAGTTTCTCAATCAAAAATCGAATTTCGTGGCCACAGAGAGATATATTCATGGGGCTCAGATGCAATTTCATGATAAGTCTTCTATCAAAAATCGAATTTCGTGGCCACCGAGAAATATATTCATGGGGTTTAGATGCAATTTTATGATAAGTCTTCTGTAAAAGTTATACCTGCAGTGTAAGTTTATTTTTAACGGTACAGCGTTGTAAAGTTCATATATCTGAGCTTTAAAAATTGTTGTAATTTTTAAGTAGCAAGTTTAAAAAGCAGCTCTCGTGGATATTTAGTAAAATTTAAGGCATACAATCGACCATTTATGTCATTTCTAGATGTATGTCCGTGTTTGAATAGGAATACTTTGACTGGTGGTGATGCAACGTTGGCCAACTTGCTTTATGAATTACAATTTTTTTTTTAAATTGAAGACGACTTTAAAGGGCATCATAACTCTTATCAAGGCAAAATATCCAGGTTTGATGTCAGTCTCAGGTGAGAATTGGTTTTGACGAAAACACTTTTGCCAAGTTAATTCATAATATTTTTCAAAGAATAAACAATGATATGATTTTAAAATAAAAACTTATTTATATGCTGTTTTATTTTTTTTCCTAACGAAGTATGGAACTTTTAGAACTCATAAAAGAAAAAAATAATAGATAATAATGCCGGAATAATACTTTTTGACACATCAACGCAACAATGATTTAATTATTCAAATTATTTTTGAAATTGTTTTTTTCTTTATTTATTTATTTATTGTTTTATTGTTTGTTTGTTTTAACATCTATTATCCTTACGTTGATGATACTTTGTTTTCCAAGGCACAACACATGTATTTTCGATTTTTAGATGTATTTTTACCAAAAAAACTCAAATGCTTGCTATTCTATGTTTGTTTTTTCATTCCACGTAAAAAAGGTTGAATTGCCAACTAAGTCGACGCAGAATTTTTTATATTTTGAAAGCAATGCTGATGCTGAATCATTCATTATATTCCCTAAACTCACTTGAATTACGTTTTACAACCAGATAATTATTGGAAGTATCCATATTATAAACTTATTATATAATCTAATGTCAAAAGAAAACTAAATAAAATTGGCAACAGTGCCATTTTTAATAAAAATTTTCACGATGGATTCCTGAAAGTCCTCCACATTTTGCTTCACAATATTAACCATCGACACTTTTTCTATCTGGTCTCCAATAAAATAACAACATAAAATAGATATTTTCATTGTGTAAACTTTGCAACGCTGTATAATCGCATGCTGATATAAATTATTTAACGCATCCACGAGTATCACTACTCCTTGATTTCATGTCTTATAATATAGTTAAATCTTCACTGAAATCGGATTGTGAATGAGAAACTTATAAAAAATGTGTATTTTTAAAGCTCAAAAATATAAACTTTTCAACGTTGTACTGCCAAAACATGGCTTATTCACGAGTCAAAACTTTTAATTAGGGACTCTTTTTATCATAAATTCTATTTACGCTTTGTGTGAGTATCCTAAAGTCTACTCTAAAGAATGTTTTTTAAAGGAAATCCATGGAAAAATGAAAATTACTAAGACTCAAATATGCAAACTTAGTAACGCTGTATCTTGGAAACCAGATGTATACTCATGCTAAAATTTTTACTGGAGGCTTGCCACATCATGAGGTTACATTTAGGCCTCATGCGAATGAAATCCCCGGGCTCCCGAAAAGAGGTCATTTTTTTGGAGGCTCTTTACAAAGGTAATTTTCGTCTTGAATTTTTAGTATATTGTGAGTAAAGATAAAATTTGTGTAGATTACCAGTATATATTTGCAAGGTAAAAGAAGTTGCACAATGTAAGCGACATTGGAATAGTCTTGGTTTCTTTTTGCATAATGCAATCTAATTATCTTATAGTTTGATAGGTCTATACCTATTCTTGTCACCCAAAATTGACAATGCTGTCAAGCACAAGCCCTAGACGCCATTGGAAATATCTAGGAAACTATAAGAAGGACCCTTCATAATCATCTTGGATGCGTTTCCAGGGCAGCACTAATAGTGCTGACTTTTCCATTGGATTGTAAGGTGATGCCAGGACATCATAGCGAATTTCATACTTTTCAGTTGCCTACTGGTACTTAATGGTGATTTTGGTTTTATAATTTTGGACTGGGTGTAGGTAAGCACCTGAATTAAAATACGTATGCCACACTCCAAAAAATTTGCAATTTTTGGACATTGAAAGGTGTATTTTAAGTCGTGAGACCTAGAGAAACTAAAACTGCTCGAAATCTTGCTGCTAAAGGAGAATTTTCTCCTTCCGCGCATTAAAGATACTTATATCAAACCAGGAAGGCTTGCTTGTGAGTTGACTTGAAGTGTACTGTTTAGAATTTTTGATTATTTGTAATCATAATATCATGTTTAATAAGTTCTTATTAAATTTTCTGATAAGTTAATATTGAGGGTTCTCAGTATGCATTGTTAGAAGAATTTTGCAGTGTCCAATGGAAATTTCTGTAGGTACTTAAGAAATATGAACTTTTTGACCTGCAGACTATGATGCAAATGTAATCTCTTTGAAAGATTTCCAAAATTTTAAATTTTGGCCCTGAACTCGAAGGCAGCTATGGCAATGGCAAATTTTAGGAGACCTTTTATCCTTTGAATCTCAAAAACTGATGAAATCTATTTTCAAGAAAATGATTTTTATGATGTTTACTATTAAATTGTATTCCTCTTTAACATAAACTTCATTAATCATTTAAATTGAGTTTTTTCTAAGGAAAAAATTGGTGCTGTGAGTTGGCAGTACTGTCAAATGATAAGTAGTAAAATGTTCACCTTCTTCAAACAATTATGGGTTTTATTTTACAGAGAAATTCAATTGCTAAGAATGTTGAAGCATCATAATGTGATAGAATTAGTTGACGTTATTGTGAATGAAGAGAAGCAAAAAATGTATTTAATTATGGAATTCTGCATTGGCGGCCTTCAAGACATGCTAGATAACTCACCAGGGAAAAAGTTGCCTGATTGGCAAGCTCATGGGTATGTTTTTATTATTATTATGAAACTTTTTTACACCGTGGCAGATGAATTTAAGGTTGTATGAGACCTTAACATGAGAGTTGTATGAGACATTAACCATAACATGATGAGTTTAAGGTTATTATTTATTTTTTTATTTCACAGGATTTCTCCCGGTATTCAGAACCCAGAACGAGTCGAGGACTAGAGTTTTGGGTCCTTTTCATGCCCTAACCATTAAAGTTTTCAAGAATAGAAAACTAAAAAAACGAAAAGAAAGAGAGAGAGGACCACTCTACGTTAAGGAAACTCCGAACTATATTGCAGGTGCTGAGAATAACTGACTTCTGAATGGTGTGGAAAAGGTGATCCGGTAGTTTCAGCTCTTTTAGGTGTTTAATTAGGCTCTCCGGTATGACTCCCGTGACGGACATGATGAGAGGTCTGTTGTGAACAATGTCCGTGCCCCATTTTCTCTTAATTTTCACAGAAAGAGGCATGTACTTGCATATCTTTTCCTCATACTTCGACAACAAATTGTGTCAATTAGGGATGCTGAAATCGCAGACCTGCACAAACGAGCCTGCTTATCTATCAAGATGACTTCAGGTCTACTAACCATAACCATCCAATCAGTTTGGACTGGATTGTGCCAATACTGGCGATATCGTTGATTCTCAAATACAGTTGGCGGATCATAAGGTTCCAGATTCCTAAAGAGATCGCAATTACTTGCCAAAGCTTGATAACTATCTGTCCCATGTCGTCATGATGCTCTGTATATTTTTTCGCGGCAAGCTGAGTACGGGCAGAAGTGATATGATCTATTCTTTCAGAGGCCGCATTAAATCCTCTGCACCTGTAGCTCCCTGTGTTTCCCTGTGTGATAGTATTACTCTACATAAAGGTTCCGTACCGGCTCACTCTGCCCGCCCCCACNCCCCTAGAGAAAAATTGGTTGAAGCGATTTCCTTTAAACTTGGCACACGCTTAGCAATTGTCGTGAGGAGTTGATCAAAATTATTGTATGTATGTATGAGCCGCTTTCACGGCGCGCTAGGGCGCTCTGCGACGCCTACTCTCCATAGGAATCTGCCATGGTAGAGATCCTCCGGAAGCTGGCATCTCTCCATCTTTTCACGGATGCCCTCTACCCACCGTTTGGCTGGAAGCCCTCTCTGTAACCTACCTGGGGGGACCCACTCCAACACCTTCTTCGGCAACCTGGTATCAGCCATTCTCTGCACATGCCCATACCATACCAATTGCTTGGTCATGATATCGTGCACAATCGTCCCCTCAACGCCCATTATCTCTCGGACACGTTCATTCCTGACACGTTCTCTCCTCGAGATTCCAGCCGATCTTCTCCAGAAATCCATCTCGGTCGCCTTGAGCATTTCTTGAGTGTCCGCTTCTTCAACTGCCACACTTCACAGCCATAGGTGATTATAGGCTTGACAACCGAGTTAAAAATCCTCTTTTTGTTGTCCTTGGAAATCCTTTGGTCAAGGATCCCATTAAGTATGGCGATGACTTTCCTTCCTTGAAGATCACGGTCCCGAATGGCCTGATCCAACTTCCCATCCGAAGTCAGCTTCACCCCCAGGTACTTGTATTCTTCGCAACTTTCTATATGTTGACCATCCTCCAGGACCATGCTTTGTTGAGCACCCCCGACTGACATCTTCTTTGTCTTACGGACACTAACCTCGAGGCCCCACTTGCGGTACTCCTCAACCAACTTCCGGGTCGTATACTCCGCGTCATCGTACTCTTGACTTATGACTACCTGGTCGTCAGCAAAGCATAGCGTGAACAATGTTTCTTTGTCAATCAGAGGGACGCCCATTCCGGCACACTTTCTTTTCCATTCCATCAGAACGTCCTCTAGATATACCTTAAATAGCGTCGTCGACAGACAACATCCCTGCTTACGCCCCTTGATGACAAAAAAACCGTCTGAAAGCCTTCCTTGGCACTTGATTCTGGCTAAAGCCCCCCGATAAAACTGCTTGACTGCCCCAATATCCAATAAGTCCATTACCAAAACCAGTTTCTTCTAGGACTTCCCAAAGTTTCACAAGAGGAATACTATTATAGGCCTTTTCGATATCCAAAAACACTAAATGGAGCTCCTGACCAACAATCCTCTTCTTTTCGGTTACCTGGGTAACACAGAACAGATGATCAGCGGTAGACGGACCAGCCCTAAAACCTGCTTTCTCCTCCGCATTATTATTATTAATATTATTATTATTTAGACAGGGTGTTCGAAAAGTCCCCTCCCCCCCCTCTAACTTTTGACCTAATTGAGGTAGAGATTTGAAACTTGGAGGGTGTTCCTAGATCAAAGGGAGCTACTTTTTGACCCCCCAAAATTTTTGGGGGGGTTACGGACCCTAACTTTTAATTTTCAAATGGGAAGACCCCCTTTGTGATACCTCGTTCGAAAGAGCATAAAAAAAGAAAATTTTTCGCGCAAACCGGAAGTCATTATCTCAAACCGTTTCAAAATGGCGGCCGGTCAAAGTTCCAAATGGCCAAAAATTGGCACCTCTTCTTTTTGCGCATGGATTTGCTTGAAACTCGGTATCTGGGGGTATTTTGGCACGAGAAAAACGAATTTAACGTTAGATTTTAAAAAAAACCCTAATTTCTCAAAATGGCGACCGGTTTAGGCTCAAAAAGGTCGAAAATTTGACAAACTCGATTTTTTTGCCAATGGATTCACCTGAAATTCGGTACATGGGGGTATTTTGACCCGAGAATAACGAATTCAACGTTAGATTTTTTAAAAAAACCCTAATTTTTCAAAATGGCCGCCGATTAAAGTTCAAAATGGTCAACAATTGGCAACCTCGACTTTTTGCCGATAGATTCGCCTCAAACTCGGTGTTTGAGGGTATCTGGGTGGGAGACAAACGAATTCAACGTTATTTAACCGAGTTTCAGGCGAATCTATTGGCCAAAAGTCGAGGTTGCCAATTGTTGACCATTTTGAACTTTAATCGGCGGCCATTTTGAAAAATTAGGGTTTTTTTTAAAAATCTAACGTTGAATTCGTTATTCTCGGGTCAAAATACCCCCATGTACCGAATTTCAGGTGAATCCACTGGCAAAAAAATCGAGTTTGTCAAATTTTCGACCTTTTTGAGCCTAAACCGGTCGCCATTTTGAGAAATTAGGGTTTTTTTGAAAATCTAACGTTAAATTCGTTTTTCTCGTGCCAAAATACCCTCAGATACCGAGTTTCAAGCAAATCCATGCGCAAAAAGCAGAGGTGCCAATTTTCGGCCATTTGGAACTTTGACCGGCCGCCATTTTGAAGCGGTTTGAGATAATGACTTCCGGTTTGCGCGAAAATTTTTCTTTTTTTATGCCCTTTCGAACGAGGTATCACAAAGGGGGTCTTCCCATTTGAAAATTAAAAGTTAGGGTCCGTAACCCCCCCAAAATGGGGCCCCCCAAAAATTTTGGGGGGGTCAAAAAGTAGCTCCCTTTGATCTAGGAACACCCTCCAAGTTTCAAATCTCTACCTCAATTAGGTCAAAATCGGTCTATCGGTTGGTGGTAACTATCCATCACCCAGAACTCGCCTCACAATCCTGCAGCTCCCTAGCAAAGCTGCTTTCTGCAATTGTTGATACAGCTTCTCCCTAAGGTTGATCTTCCTAAGACTATCAAACAACTTCACAGGAATCTCCCCCGTTGCTCCAATAATAATTGGCACAATTATTACTTTGTCCAATTTCCAGAGGCACTTGATTTCGTCTGCCAAAGGCATGTACTTGCTTATCTTCTCAGCATAAGCGCTCTGGATATTCACTGCCGACGGCACAGCTACATCGATTATAAAAGCAATTTTGGCATCCTTCATTGTGAGCACAATGTCTGGGATGTTATTAGGAATGGTTCTATGGGTGCGAATCTTCCTGTTCCAATAGAGGCGGCATATATCATTTTCTTTCACCTGGGGAGGTTCGAACTCATAGTAAGGTTTCATGTCCGTTTCGTTGAGGTGTTCTTTAGCCAGCTCTTGATAAATTATCTTTGCCACAGAATTATGCCGCTCAAGGTATTGCTTTGGTGCCAAGTTGGAACATCCAGCTAATAAATGGTCGAGGGTTTCCTCTTTCGCTCCGCAAATACGATACATGACGTTGTCGACCCTTACTTTCATTATCCGCTTTTGATACGATTTTGTCGGAAC